TTTTTTTTTCTTTTTTTTTCCAAAAAGGGCCCGGTGCCCAAGGCTCATATTATCCTCCAAAATCGTGGTCCTTGAGGCCGGGGTCCTCACAGTCTGCCCGGTAGTCCATTCATTCTTCTGGGAGCATTACCCAGTGTTCGCTTTTTACAGGACCCAAAGGGACCCAGCTATCCAAAAGAGAGTTCCTATCTCCTACGCCATAGATTGAAAGACAAAACTCAACAACATTTCCCCAACATTAAGTGACCAGTACTTACTCCTTCTCCTACCAACCTCTCTCCTACTATCATGAAACCAAATATATTCCAAAGAAATAAAATCACCGATACCCAGCAAAATCCCTACTCAAACATATGAATAAAGAATATGAAAATCTAGTGATCCAGGCCACCTGATATCAACTACGGAGGCCTTAAAAGGATATCAGAAGCTGGTCTAAATCGGCCAGCACCCAAGAGGTCTAAAAGGACCAAAAACAAATTACCATCAATATCTTAGGCAAAATTAAGCAAGCCACTTGGCCACCTCACACCTTTCGCCGTCTATTATTGCAGCCAGGAAATCCTCCCTGGCCCAGACTTTTTTAAACCAGCTTATGCCTTTTCCAAAACATCTGGTCGCTCTCTTCCATTCTGCCAAAATAGTCAATCTGAGGGACTGCTTTACCATTGCTCTCTGTTGATGAAAGGGAAGGATCTGGTCCTTGAAAACCGCCGAATTTCTTGCCTTCCAAATCACTTCCATGATAATACCATGGACGACCAAAGCCACATACTCCCAGTCCTTCTGTAGCTCTTCCGTCTTTTCTTGCAATGCCAGAAGTATCCAATCCTCGGTCCAAGGCCATTTCTGTCCTACCACATCTTCCCACTGTAATTTCCACCACCTCCACAGTTCCTCAGAGTGTGGACAGGCCAGCCAGATATGATTTGTCGTTTCCCAATGCCAACCACATCTCCTGCATGTAACCTCAAGTTCCATTCCTCTGTTTCTCAGCCACATCGCCGAACTCGTGAGTCCCAGCGACTGGCTCCACATGAGACTAGCCTGTTTCTGGGAGGGTACTTTTCTCAGCATATTCCACAGTCTGGGGAAATCTGGAAGAGTTTTAGTGTCACCATGAGTCTTGCGAAATTTACGCATAGCTGTATCCAGTGGTTGGATCTTCCTTGCTCTGAGGTGGGCAATGCCTACTTTCGAAGAGTACTGGATCAAGGGGAATAGGCTTCCTCTCTTATCTTTCCATCCGTACAACAGTGGATCAACAATGTAGTCAGCCGCCAAACCTTCCAGTACGATGGGTTTTTTACCACAGCTACCGTATTCCCACACACAAACCTGGTCCAGTTTGTCCATTAAATACGTCTCTTGGACGCAGACCACTTCTGGCCAGCGCTTTCCCCCTACCCCCCCAAGTTGATCCCATATAGCCTGTTTTTTCTCCAGGCGGGAGAAGTTTTTTCTCCAGGCTGGTGGTGGCCAGTCCGTTAGCATTCCATGTTATGAGATGGATCAGCGTCGCTTTTTCCTTCCGCCCACTCCTCCTCTTTCCTGTGAAAGGCATTGACTGTATTCATTGGAAGCGCCCCCTGTCCCAAGTCCACCTATCCCGCTCCCAGGCTCTGGAGTCCCACCCCCCGACCCCCTTCAACAAATTATATATGG